ATCTTGAGGAACTGTGAAGCAGATCAGCGTCCCCAAGAGAATGCTAAGAATTCAGTGTGTGTGTGTGTGTGACTTCGTACTGATGTCCTCTCCTTGTACAGTCCGCTGGTTCCAGCATACGGAAAGTGCCAGACAATGGCAGATTGTGGAGGACAAAGAAAGAAAGTTTCTTTGTCTGTAAAAAAAAACAATGGACTCTATCAATAGTTTATTGGCTCTGCCATCTATTCGGACCCTGCCCAGGGCCCTTTTTTATAGTGACCGCAAGGTCAAGCCTCTAAATCTCCCAAAACTTCTAGCTTCAAAAACAATAAGTCTTCTTACAGCATGTTTTTTTAAACTTCTGCTTGTTTTGTGTGTGTGTGTCCGCAAAGTGTCTTTCTGCCACCATATGTTAACATCTATAAATAATGATGTTTCACATTTTATTTTTTATCACTATTAGCTGTAATTCACTGAAGTAAAAAACGGACTGAGTCGTGTTATTAATCAAGGTCTTAATATATGGCAGCAGTCATAGCATAAATATGTCCTTTGAAAAAATCTATAAAGACAATCTGACCGGGGAGAAATCTAATACACACTTGGTAACTCACAATGTCCCCTGTGTGTGTTGGTGTGTATCTGTTATGTGTACTTTACGTGTGTGTGTGTGTGTGTGTGTGTGTGAGATGTGGTGCGTATTTATGAATGTATTCCCACACAGCTTTCCCTGCAGATTTGACATGGCTGATTAGGGCTGTTAGATGAGGATCGGAGATGACCTTGGAGGAGAAATCAAATGCATTTACCTGAGAGATACACACAAAATGCCCTGGGATAAATAACGTACCATCATCACTTTGCTATCACCGTAGACTTCTCGCAATACTAAAGTATATGCATTTTATGAAGCATTTGTGACTTTGAGGGCTCAGTTTAAAGATGCATTTATTCTTATCGTGAAGCAGTTCCACACCCTGATGTGGACCCCTCTTGCACAGAGAACAGAGAGGCACATTCTCCCTACTTTTGCTTCTGTGTCTCCCCTCCCTCCCAACTTTCTCTTTTTTCCCGGACAATAGGGGCCACGGTGAAACAATGCAAAAAAGGAAAGGCCCAGGGTTTGTGCGGCAGCAATAGGGGGGTGGTCTGAGGTGCTGAGAGGGGAAAACGGGTGAGAGGGCCTTAGAGCTTTAAAGGAGGGTAAGAAGAAAGTGATGGAGGCTTTCTTTTCTTGGGAGGGAGAGTTCTGATGAGGGGGATGTATAGAAAATCAGCAGGAATGAGGGGGGTTGTTTAAGAGATTGACGTAACAGGGATAAGGGATGTAGGGTGGAGGGGCGGGCCGCTATAATGTTGAGAGTAACACAGACGATGGCCGAGGGGACCAGGGTTATGTTTTTGTGGGACTCAAAGATTTTTCTGCCTGACTGACCCTGAAAGTGATCACGCTGAGCCAGGCAAAGAAAAACTCCGCTTTTTCTATTGTACGCACACACACACACACACACACACACACACACACACACAAGATAAAACTGCTAGCCAATCCACTGAAATTAAAGCTGGACTAATACACATTTTTTATATTGGCAACTGATCAAAAGATTATGTATAATGTGAAAAGGGTGACCTGACTCTGCAGTTCCCCTTAGCTCTAAGGAGTGTTACAGTTTTTTTTCAATTGCTAATCTGCATTGGTCAAAACTGAAGTCACATTGTGAGAACTCTTCACACAGTCAGCCAAAGAGAAATGCATGTGGACCAAACTATAGATAATTTTTCATTGCTTTCTGTCACGAATCCCCGGTCGTGACCCTGACCTTCCTGTTGGGATGTGTGTGTGTGATTGTAGTTTTGAGTTCTTTTCCCCTTGGGGCGTTTATGGTGTGCTTGGTGTGTTTTGGTCTGTCTCTCTGTGTTCTGCTTCCTCCCTCATGCTCTGGGGCTGCTGGTGGGCGTGGTTGCCTGAGCTCCAGTTGACGCACCTGAGACTCATTCAGTTAATCAGCACACCAGTGCCTCTGCCTACAATCAGCTCTCCTTAAAAGACCAGCCCAACCTTCCAGCCCCTGCCGGATCGTTGTACCACACACAGTATGAACATACCAGCCTGTTTGCCCAGTCTGAACTATCAGCATCTTGTCTGAACCCTTGTATTTGTATTAACGTGTTTTTCTTTCTCGACCACAGCATAGCTGCCCATGCCTGACTCGGATTCCCTCCTGCGCCACGAAAACCCCTGAGCTCTGGATCCAGGACCACATGCCCCTTGGAACAACCACCCATCCCCCAGCCACACTTGTCTCTCCCTTGTGTTCAATAAATCCTTTCACTGCTCATACTCTGGTCTGCGTCTGAGTTTCTGGCCCCGGTCCTGACACTTTCACACAAAATGCATTCAATGACCACTTTCTCCAAAATCCATCAACTCTTTTCTCATTACTACTACACCACCTGCAAAACACAGGATATCTGCAGCACGAATTTCCTGGTTGAATTGATTATTTTCAGCTATTTAAAACAACTGTAAACATAAGATTTTGCTGTCAACATCTCAGGATCAAATGTCTTTCCAGTAAACATCGATCATGGAGAAAAGTCTTTTCAAAAATGCTGTTTCAAAGCGCTTTCAAATGAAAAAAACACAACAGATAAATGTGAGTTAGAACAATAAAAAGAACTGTACATAACTGACAATGAGTAAAATTAGCTCTACCTCAGTCAGCAACAACATTAAAATTGTAATGGTGTTAATGCATCAATAATAATAACACAATGTTATAACATATAAAACTGATGCCCATTTTGGCTGTATTGTGAGAATTTTTAGACTTTAAGTATACTTTTCCTTCAGTAAGGTTTTGAATGCAGCACTTTTACTGTGTTTCTTTTAGCTGTTGCTGCCATCAAAGATGAAACCAAGATACCTACGAAGTGGGGCTAACAGTGAGACAACCTATAGAGAATTTGAGAATAAGGTATTTGTGCAGTCTTATTCATTTGGAAGAAATTCTGAGACATTCACATATGAATGTCATGAAGGCAGTTTTGGAGGGATTCAATTTTCTGGAAATAGTTTGCAGGGTCACATCGTAGATAAATCAACGTTGTTTGAGGAAAGCTGGACATCTGGAAAAAAAGGTAATTATACTTACAAAACAACTGCTGGAATGTACTGAATTCTGACTTAGACTTAGTCTAATAATATACATTTCTCCAGGTGTGGATTTAAACTGAAAACCATGAGGCCCAAGTCAATTTAAGAGACATTGTATCCTCATGAATTAATAGAAATGACTCATCTTCCACTTTTACCAAGTAATAAATAGAAATTGCACAAGTTGTGGACAGGCATTCATCAAAGTGCTCATTATCCTGAGGTAGTGAATTTCTCTTCATTTTACAAATCAACTTGATGTGTTAATCACTGGCTCCATCTTGTGGCACTGAAATGTCTTGCAGTTACTTGATAAGAAGGTCAGAACAAACACATTTCATGACCTTTGAATGTTTCCCTATTTAGATGAAGTGGCAGCTCAATGTGACTATTCGTAATCGGGACAGAAATAGCTTGTTCTGGTCATGAGGTCCTTGAACTATAAATAAGATCCAGAAATAAGCTCTGTTAAAGCTGAAAATACATCAATATATTTAACTATATATTAACTATATTATTTAACTTTAACTTTTTATTTTATTATTATTATCACATTGCTGATGCTCTGTGAACAATTCCTGTTCCTGAAAAACTACAACGGAGCAACAGATGGAGCAGAGTTCCTTCCGCAGCAACACATTTTATTTTCATGTGCTCTCTGAGGCTCAGAGAGAAATTTGATTTACATAATATTTTGCACAGAAGTGCAGGAGATGAATATTGTGTCTCTTTTTGTTTTATTAGCCTATCTGAAGAGAACAAATCTGACTGAGAGATAACATAGTTTTGTGTTCTTGGTTATGTTTATATAATTTCATAATATTCACTGGTGTAATGTAACTAAGTACATTTTTGCTAGTACTGTACTTAAGTTCATATTTGAAGTACTTGTACTTACCACGTTCTACTTCTACTTCACTATATTCCAGAGGGAAACAGCTTCACTTAATAGTTACTTTAATTGAAGATTTTTGCACACAAAACAATAGAAGAGCTTATAAAATATGTTTTGATATAAATTTTAAAAACAGTATATAAACCACAGTATATACAAGTACAGCTGAAACGATTAGTTGATTAGTCAACTGATAGAAAATGAACTGACAACTATCTTGATCATTTAAATTTAATGCAAAAACTTTTCGTGGTTCCATCTTCTCAGATGTGATGATTTCCTGCCTTTACTTTTAATTATTTTTTAATAATTCTGAGGTTTGTACTATTGGTTGGATGAAATAACTAGTCTTAAGGTGTCACTTTGTGCTCTGAGAAATTGTGATGATTCTCACTATTTTCAGAGTTTTAATAAACCAAACAATCAATTGATAATCTTTTTTAGCATTAAAAAGTTAATTTCCTGCATTCTGGAAAAGTTTTGCATCAATTTATGGTGGAAATGTTTTTATTTATGCAACGGGAAACACGTAATTCAGGTGGCAGTTGATAGGCGATTTCAAAATCTGAAAATGTAACAGAAATTATGCAGTTAACAGTAGCTTTCTACTTTTTTTAGCTGAAGTTTGTTTTTTGGACAATGCACGTTTTTCCTATATTTATTTTGCACTGTACATTTTCTTATTGTGCAGACAAACCTTTCTCAAAGAACATTTGTTGTTGCAGGCTTTTTTCAGAACATTTTTAACAAATGCTTTTAAAAAGTGATGGGGTTAAAATCAGCCATTTCAAAAAGTGATGGTGTCAAATGTCCCCAGCGTCCCCAGTGCAAATGACACCCATGCTATTAGTTCTTAAACTTCCTCCACCACTGTTATCCATGTTCCCGTCCCAGCCACACTCTGTAGGCTACCAGTTGGTGGCGGTAATGGCGCCATTCCGTTGTTTACCAACCGCCAAAAACATGAAGAAGAAGAAGCACGTAGACCAGAGACGTAGCCGGTGACAGGTCCTCAGAAGAGCAGGGAAGATCGACCGTCTGAGAGTCCTTTTTCAAGCATCCAGGAAGACCACATTGGGCCAAAAGAATGGGAAACGTTGCGCTCTCTACAGGGTAACAGAATAACATGTTGCTGTGAATTTGTTTGGGTGTGACCTATCTTGCGGAACTTGTATGGGCATTAAAAAAAAAAGGTAATGCGGATGTTCTGTTCCTCCAGCGTGATGCATTCTTTGATACCCAAAATTTAAACCCACATTTAATAAGCAAGACACTGATTTGCTCCGGTTTCGCACCAATCTTTGGGTGCATGGGCGAGGAAGGAAGATTAATGTAATGTTATTATTATAAAGCTTCACAGCCCAAGTTCACCCCCCCCCCCCCCCCCCCCCCCGCTTAATATCTTCCACCCTCTCCCCTTTTTTCCACAGAAGATGGCATCCATTGATTCCCTTTTCTTTTTAAAATGCTATCAAGAGCGTTTGTCACACAAAAGATGGGTGACATGACAACCAAAACGTCAATTTATTGTTAGTATATAGAATAAATGTACATTTGCTAAAATGCATAAATACATGTACATGTACAATAGTTACACACGGTGTTGAATTAAGACCTAAAATGTTAATAAACCAGGATGAAATATAAAGTAATAACAATAAGAAGAAAGAAAATAAGAAAATGATAAATAGTAATAATAACGTTTGTCTTCTGCAGTCACTGGGTAATATATCAGTATATTGTTCAGTAATGCAATATAGAGATTGTCAGTATGATGTAAGTATGTCTACTATAAAATAATCTGAACAACACTAGTCCATACTTTATCATTTTAAGCCCTGTTTAATATAACTATAATATTGCTTCATATTTCTGTCTGGACTTACAACATATGTACAGTTTATTAGCTTATGATTAAAATACTGTATTAAAGTACCATATTCTAGTATGTAACATCTAATATTTTAAAATATTCATATAGTATGATTTTGCTCTGTTGTACTGACACCCTGTATCGTAGCAAATCCAATATTATCTTAGTATTAATTTATTGTATCATGTAATAATAACATGCATTCTTTTGTAGCTACTCAGGCGTGAGTTTATATTTTTCTCATGTGATATAAGTATCAGCCAAACATGGCTTTAAAAAGTTTGACTGAAAGCTAAATTTCATATTATTTATTTAATTTTCACTTTAAGTTGCAAAATGCATTTCAAAACAAAGTTGTTGGTTTTTTTTTAATTTACTGTGACATTTCACTTCTTTTCTTTTCCAAGAGACATATGTGAAATCTTTCAGTCTTCTCATTTTTAAATGTGACTGTTGCTTGTCATTTGTTCCAGTCTCTTCAGAACTGTTGGAACCATGTCTGAACGAGTCAATGGAGGGAGGTTCGTGGCCAGGAGGATCAGCAATAGCATAACTTATTATTATGCTCCGTTCTCAGAGGCAGGAGACTGGACGTTATGTCCTGCCAAAGAATCTCTTTCCTCCTCTCCATTGCTCTCAGATTCTGCCTCCACTTCCCGTCCACTTCTTCTTCTATTCTCCTGGCTTGGTGCCCAGCTAGGGGCGGTGGCCAAGTACAGGGACCTATACCTAGACCATGGCATGGATGTCCTTGTGGTCCAGAGCAGTGTAATGCACTTCCTGTGGCCTCGATGGGGGCTCGACTACGGGATGGAGGTTTTGAAGGTACTGGAGGAGCCTCAGTTCTTAGAGAGGGCGTTGCTGGTCCATGCCTCCTCCATTGGTGGCTACACTTTCACTCAGGTACTCACCCACATCGCTCAGAGACCAGAAAAACATGCAGGCCTTGCCCACAGGGTGATAGGGCACATCTATGACAGCTTGGTGGTTGGCACTCTGGAGCACATGGCGATAGGTGAGTGATCCAGCTCAGGTTACTTCTGTGTCAGATCTTTAAATAATCCATTAGCCAGCCGATCGACTGTTTTAGTTTGTTAGGAGCCCAGGAATTCTTTGTGGCAGCATGTTTCTTACATGCCTTAGTACAGTGTCTGCTAACAGTTTATATGATGCTTTTGACCATTAGTCATCTAGGGTACAAAATGTCCCAAAATTGTCCTTTCACATTTCTGTTAACCCCAACGTGATGCCTTCAATTTGTTAGTTTTGTCTGTTGAAAACACTCGACAAAAAAAAGGTATTCAATTTATTATGTTTGTGAGTTGGTATTCTTTAATATGACTGTTCAAAAGACTTGTTTGTTTAAGACTTTTTGGTACCTAAGTGAAATGTCAAATGGGTTACAATGCGAGTACTAACTACAACAGATACCAAGACAACGCTTTTAACTAGAATGGGCATTTCCTTAAGAAAATGCGTGTGAGAGCTGCCAGCTATTTTTTGCGATTGCTACCGCTGTCGGTGCAATGTGCGGCTCCATCAGCTAAGAGACTCAATGATGTGCTGCACACTTGTTCAGCAAACATATGTTAAGTTTGGCCACCTTTTCATTAACATGCTGTGACCTACGCTGTCTGAGGATATCATTGTCTCCGATGTCCACTCCTTATAAATCCAGAACTTGCCTGAGAATTGTCGCATTTGAAGTTTTCTTCAATATAATATAAGTAATACACTAATAGTCACCTGTTCATCCATGGTTTCACTGCAAACAGGAACTACTAATAACTAATTTGGCATACTTTTAATGGTGCCAGTTTGCCTAAATGTAAACAGATATAAGCCAAAAGAAAAGTAAATAGTTGAATCCCACAGCCTAACTCACTGAATCCATGTCAAAATTATCCTTCCTCTTTACATCCCCCAAAGCATTATGATGACTGTAGTTCGCAAAGAATAGTAATAGGAGTGGTAAAATACATTAACATTAACTTTTTGGGTTGTGGGGGACACTGCTCTAGGTTATCTACTAGCACCACATTTATTGAATTAATAAGTATTGAAGTTTAAAACCCAGCCCTATACCGTACTGTGTTATTTATATAAGCAATTGTACTCTCAATCTTTCTCTCTTCGAAATCTTAATTAACCCTCATAATCATGTCTGTCTTTTGTTGTTATTCAGGCCTTGGGAAGACTCTGGTCCCAAGTTTTGAAGGCTTAGTCAAAAATGCTGCCTTGCTTTACTTCTGGCTCTTCAAAACCCACACGGCAGACTTCTATGAAAACAGCATTCAAGTTTTCCTCAACAACCCAATTACTGCACCAGCCCTCTTCTTCTTCAGTGAAAATGACGCCCTGTGCAACCCAGTTGTCATGGAAAAGTGCATTGACCTGTGGAGGAAGAGGGGCGTGACTGTGGAGAGCAGGAAGTGGAAAGAGTCAATACATGCAGCCCACATGCGATGCCACCCAGAAGACTATCTCTCTACCCTGGAGAAGTTCTTGAACTCACTGCCCATTTCCTCCCTCAGGGCAAAAATGTAACTGTTGGGGGAGTAAAAGCAGGAATTTTAAAACTGTAAGATGCTTTATTTATTCTATGCTTTAAAGAAGACAGATTTATTTATCTTCCAGCTGTTGCATTATTAACAGTGTAATTTAACAAAGACAAACTCCTTTTAAGCACTCTCTATTTAAATGATGTGCAGTATTTAAGGAAGTACTGTAAAGGTTATGTTACATGATGCTTGTTTTGTTCAGGAAGTGTTAAATAACTGTTTCTGCACATTATGTGGTATTGTTTATAACAGCACATCTGTTTTTGCTCTATGTATTTCAGCAGAAAAGCATGAAATTGTATACATCTGATTTATATAGTGCATAGCGGGGTTTTGTTTGTTTGTGAGGGTGAGCAGGTCAGGCAGTGAGCAATTGTGAACAGGCATGATGTAGGGCAGCTAAAGGCAGGGAGGGAGTGGAAAATGAGAGTAGATTTAGGAAAACAGGATCTACCACTGATCTTGTGTTGTGGTCGTAAACACAGGTATTGTGGGGGGAGTTGTGGCGCTGACAGTACCATGGGAGACAAAAGCGAAGGTATACAAAGGTTAGCTGTTGGGGTTTTGTTGGAAAATCAATTTTGTCCCTGTTAACTGAACTGGTTATAAGTGAAAAATATGACAGACAATGCAGTCAGTTCCATGGATGTATAATGTTTCCAGTGCACATTTGTGGGTAAGAAAGGTGACTGGGGCGAATATAGGTAAATCTTACACTCGTAATGTCAACCACTGACGTTGGAAATGAGGCTTTCTGAAGCACTGAATCACTAGCAGTTGTGTTGAAAATGCTTCACTGTTTCAAATGATTTGATAGAGTCAAAATGGCGACATCTGCTGGCCAAACCGTTTTTTGCATTTGTATGGATAGAGTACATCTGAGACCATGGTGAAACTGTCAGGCTTTTATTATTGTTATATCAAAGTAGAAGCATATTGTCAGTGTAAGTTATTTGGCATAACAACAGATCAGTCATACTGACTGACTGACAAGAGCATCCCGTAGCTATATTTTTTATATCTTCATTAGCAAAGACAATGATAAAGGACTTTAATAGTCATTAATAAAACACAGACAAGGCATGAACCAAGCCAGGCGGAGTTGTCATGTACAGCTTTCTTATTTTTTGAATCAAAGATGTTAGTAATGTACTGCTCAGTTTCCTTTTCAAATACTATAAATAAAGGTTTAGAGTGACTAAACATGGCTTTGTGGATTTGGTACTTTCCGGGAATTATCAAAATATTGATTAGGAATAATTCTCTGTATTCTATTACTATTATTGTGGAAACCAAACATTTTTCCAATGATGACAGAATTCAGAGTCAATATTACCAATAATATATTGAGACAAATCTGCGTGGGGACATTGCCAGAACAGGTGCACTAATGTCTCTGGATACCACTTGCAAAATGGGTAATTATGTCTTCCTAAAATTTGCAAAGAAAGTGGGTATCAGGATAAAACTTTAAAAGGAACTTCCCTTACTTTATTAGTAAGGAATTTCTAGTACGGAAGTGGACAGACATTTCCCCAGTTCAAGTTAGCAAATCTAGACCAGTAGGATACAACAGTAGGGATAGTGGTGACTTCTTGCTGAAACAATGATCATATGTTACAGTTGTTTCTTATTGTAATGGACAAACAAATGTTACCCACTGAGGTGGTAAACAGACTGGCTTGTCAACCCCGTTTAAAAGTGTTAAAATACGAACAGGAATGGCATCAATAACTATGGAAAACACATTTGGGTGATAGGAATGCTAAAGGTTTGAAGACATTTTTGTTGTTGGATTTTGAAAATTAAATTGACATAATGCACAACCACATGGAGAAATAATACAAAGTTGAATTGACACTTGTGAATGTGGAATTTTACCATTAGAATTAATACATTTATGATAAAGTACTTTTTTTAAATTTTGACTTTTATAATAGCAAAATACCACATCCTCCCACATTAATGCAAAATCTCTATAAATATGGTCAATGACTGAAGCTTTGCCAAAATGTTCTGGTGTATAAACAATGCCAAAAGAGGTGCAAAACAGTGTTCTGGGTAGTCTTCACAGAAAGAACAGTTTGTTTTTAGGCCTATATCTCTTTTGAATTTAACCATGTAGTGATTAACAGGGTAATGAATGATACTTCATTCACCTTACAATCAGGTATTTGTGAAAAATCATCCAAACTTTTTTCCAGCCAATGTCGTTTACAAATCGTTTGCAATATGATATAACATGTGGAATAGATACAGTTTCTTTCTGAAACAAGGCAGGACCGTTCTTATTTCGAGGATGTTGAGATAAGCAAATTGCTGGTCTGCCTGTATTTCTAAAAGGCATTATTGTGCCCTGAATGGCGTCAGATAGACTACTACTTCCCTGATGTGTCGACACTACGTCGAGTAGGCCGTTTCGAGCATAATATAACTAAAGTTCGCTGGCGCAGTAACACGCAAAGGTTTATGTTGTGCTGAATAGGCTTGGCAGGTTGAGTAGGTCCG